AGGGTTTATAGGGTTTATAGGGTTTATAGGATTTATAGGGTCTTATAGGGTTTATAGGGTCTATAGGGTTTATAGGGTTTATAGGGTTTATAGGGTCTATAGGGTTTATAGGGTTAAGGGTTTGGGGTTTAGGGTTTGGGGTTTAGGGTTTAGAGTTTGAGGTGTTGTGAGATCAAGCTAGGTTTGCGCATAAGGGTTGCCCTCATTGCGGACCCATCATATTCCTACTATACCACTATCACAGGGTGGGGGGTCCATCTAAACTAGGCATTAGGGTTTAGGGTTCAGAGTTTCTGAACTATGTCTAGAAGCATGGGTCATGGCCCGGGATGAGTAGACGCCCGTGAGTAGAAAGCATCTATAGGACTTAGGGCTTAGGTTTTAGGATTTAGAGTTTAGGGTTTAGGGTTTAGGGTTTATGGTACAAACCAAAATGCCCATTGTCTTCTAACTATTTTGAGGGACGATGGCTTCGTGAGGTGCAGGTTCAAAAAATCCCCTCCCTAACAAGAAACCCACAAACCCCTCATAACAAATACCTCGTCAGTGTACTACAAATATCAAAACCGGATTTAGCCGGGAGCCGGGGGCTCAGAGAGATTTGGGGAAGTGAATATATTGTGTATGGCAGGCCTTAATTTTACGGTTGCCCAAGCAGACCCCAAAACATATTCAATCACCAACTTGTCCGAAGGAACCCTAATATACACTCCCAACAGCAGCCAGAACAAGACCCCTGCTGTATTTACCCTAGACCTTGAACCCTAAACCCTTTAAGCGTGTTTGAAAGTCTGGCTGCTAGGGTGTGTGATCCAGGGTTTGTGTCTCCTGTCTTTGGTCTGGAGATCTGAATTACGGTTTAAGGAGTTTTTGGATTTCGGGTTGAAGGGTTTAAGGGTTTTCGGGTTTAGGATTTAAGGGCTTTAGGATTTAGAGTTTAAGGGCTTAAGGGTTTAAGGTTGTTAGGGTTTCAGAGTTTGAGGGTGTTAGGGTTTAAGGGTGTTAGGGTTAAAGGATTTAGGGTTCCTATCATACCCCTGTGTATGACTCTCCATAACCCACAGGGAGGGTTTTGCTCCTCAAGAGCCTTCACTTGGGCTTGAGGGAAGCTGTACTGGCGACAAACCCTAAACCCCGAACCCGGCACCCTAAGCAAGAAATGAAACCCCTAAACCCTGAAACCCCCAAAACCCTAAAGCCCCAAAGCACCTAAATCCTAAACCTGAAACCCTAAAACCCTAAGTTCTAAAAGCCTGAAACCCTAAAGCCCCAAAATTCTAAAATCCTAAACTCTGCCGCGCACTTGATACTCTGCGGAGGGTGGAGCTTCGGGTTCCCCCCACCCTCGAAACTTGAACCCTCATATGAGCCATAGTTTAAAAACTCCTAGTATCCACTTCAATAACTTACCCATATAGTATTTAGTAGGGTTTAGGGTTTAGGGTCTAAGCCCCGAGTATCCCCCTTAATAACCAGGGTTTAGGGTTCGGGGTTTCAGGGTTCAAGGTCTAAACTCTTAGGGTATCCCCTTAGTAACCCCTATAGTAGAACCCTATTTAATGGCCTAGCT